TAGAACACATAAAGCAGCTTACTTAAAATGTGTATGAGTAATATATACTTGTGTATATACAGCACCATAATAGAAGTAAGCATTTACATATAAGTTTTGCAGGGCGTACATTTTTTTTCCTAGTATCAGAAATCGAACTCAGGGCTGTGCACTTACCAGGCAGGCACAGCACTACTGAAACACATCCCTGGCCCTTCCAGTGTCTACATTTATGTAGGGAATCTTCTCATCTCCTCGGGGTAGGAAATGCCTTCTTTTTACTACTTCCCATGATAGAGTGGAAATAAATTAATGGCGGTAAAACTGACTGTGAGCTTTTTGTTCACATAAAACTAACAAACACTCTAAACTTCTGGGTTTGCTTTATATTGTCCACAACTTTTATTTAAGTGCTATTTAAAGGTTTCTTTCCTTTAAGGTTATTTAAGTTCTGTGATCTTTGAAAGAAGCACTTAGATCAAACTTGTGAAGTTGAATCAACTGTCTCTGTCAGTTATGCAAGTTGGAAAGTATATTTCTGAACTCCAGTTCTTTCAGGTTAACTCTAACAAAGGATTATAAATAGGTGTAAGGATTATAAATAGGTGAGTGGTTCAAATTTCACTCTTGCTAATTGGGATTTTAAAACTTTATTTATTTTATTTTATTGGTACTGGGGATCGAACTTGGGTCCTCATGCTTGCAAGGCAGGCAGCGGAACCACTGAGCTAAATCTCCGGCCCATAACTTACTTATTTATTTGTTTTCTTACATAGTTAGAACCTACACGATATTCTAGTATGTTAGTCCTTAGGATTTCATTGGAAGTTGGGCAAGATAATAGTCTTATAAAAATGAATTTTTTCACAGTACTTAACTGGATCAGGAAATACAGAAGAAAAATACTTCCTCTAAAGGTTTAGATATTGACTATGCAGTATATTTAGCAGTTGACCCTCATAAAGACTATACAGTCTATATGAGTAAATCCAAGACTCTTGTCTGGCTGCTTTTCTTACAAGTGTGTTCTGTAGATGATGCTACCAAATTATCTTGTCTTCTAACCTATGCATATATCAGAATATCTATAAATATATAGAAAAAGAAATTATAATGGGACTAATTTACAAAATTAATAACTTTGAATTTAGTTTTTAATGTGCAAAATCTTTACAATATTTAAATGAAGAAATCCATTAAGTCAACTTTATAAATCAAAAGGACCTTCACTAACATTTTACCATTTTGCAAGGAGGAAAAACAGGAAATGTTTAAATAATCACACTAACTTGCCTAAAATCATTTCACAAAATGTCATTCTGTATAGTATAATTTTAACTGTTTTGGCACCCTACATTTGATTTGGTGATTGCATTTGTCACTGCTAATATATGAAACATCTAGGTAAGATATGGATTGATGGGACGAGCAATTGTACACAGCAGTTTATTTGATGAGTCATGGAGTTACTGAACCAGTTAAGAATTATAAAATGTTGTTTGGTTGTAAAAATCAATAAGAAGAAAGAAGAAGAGGGAAGCAAAGCAATGTGAGGTAAACAAAATAGATATGTCTGACATTCTTTTTAAAGCATCTGTTTCAAAATATCCTGCTGGTTAAGGAAAAATTAAATTAGATTCAAATATAAGTTCGACATATTTTAGAATATGAATTGTCACTCTCTCAGAAAGGCTTATGCTACTTGGATTCACAGCAATTGCATTTTATTTTAATTCAGGGGTGAACTAACACATGTCTTTTTCATTTTACTGCTGATACTGAATTTTTCAATACTTGAACAAATATTTTCTTGGGATAGGAAATTTTTTCCCATTGGAGATGTTGATTATGTTTACTCCTATCTTTGTGAGAAGTGCAAGACATGCAATTGTTTTTATTTCAACTTTATCTTTTTGCAAAGAAAAGAGCAACAAAAATATTGATTTTGTATATAAATATGCTGAAATGTTGATTATATATTATTAATATGCATCTCAGATACTTTATCTTATTTGAAAAATGAAGGATTCTATCAAATCATCTGAAAACTAATGAGAGTATATTTGGGAATAACTTAACTTTGATATTGTTGATTGAGTAAGCATATGTTTCTCCTAATGTTCAAATTAAATAAATGAATATCTAACATTACTCGATGACATCTGAAATTTAATATCACTCAAATTCTAACTGAAAAGCTCCCAAAATTAAATTTTTACCTTACCATTGCAAGCTCAGAACATCATACCTTATTAAAATTCTTATCCTTCTATAAAATATTAAGAAGCTTACTTTACAAATATTAAGTAACTTACCTCAGCAAATTATGATTACAGCTTTTCACTTAGCATTTCCTAAGTAATGCTTCTGTTCTTCCCTAAATAGTATATTTAATACAATCTCATAGCTTTATTTTAATTATGTGACGTGTCCATAGGATTTATATATATATGTGTGTGCACATGTGTAAGGTTTGAAATTGTTATAAAGGTTATCTAGTGTATTCATCCCTGAAGTAGATGTTAATATTAATTATTAGACAGATTACTTCATAACTTGCATATATCTTAATGAAAAGGTATACTTTACAAATGAAAAACATTATAAATATAAAAGTCATAAAGATAAATTATGAAGTATGCTTCTTCCTAACACACAATAACACTTTAAAAGTGTTACCAAGCTACTCAACATATTTTTTTCATTTCCTTACTTGGCATTAGGAAGAATATGTACTGTTCAGTGAGACACTGGCTTTGGCTGCACTCTGATAACATATGTCAAATGAATTAATGTAAATTAATGTAAAAAAAGCATGTATTTCATTTTCTAGTCTTTAAACATTGGAACACATGCATGTTCAGGACAGAGATACAATTGAACACTTTGAACTAGTTGTAATAGTAATCAATACCTAAAAGATACCCCCCATTGAAAAACTCATCTTACACAATTTTTACTCCCAATACGCAAGTAAACAGATGGAGCTGGCATAGTGCTTTCAAAGTCAAGAAATTCAGCCTTGGTAGAGCTGATGGAGTGGAAGGGGAAGAGTATTTTGGAGCCAAGGATTGTCCTAAGAAAACATTTTCTGTATATCCACCTCTTCAATAATGATCTGGGTCTGACAGCAGAAAATTCCCAACTAAATCCAACTTTTATTATGATATATGATTAGAATTAGAGCCAAATCATAGATTACAAGGGAGACTGCACTGTTGACTGAACACCTGCACCATTCAATTTCCTAAACTTTTAAAACTTCTCCATTTAAAGTCAGCACAAATGATTCAAAACTTTCATTAGTAGTTGATACAGGTCTTTAGCAATTTTATTTAGTGCATTGTGAATAAATCTATAAATAAAAAGTTAGGTATTTTTAGCTTATCTTTTATTCTAAAGAAGCATGCACATAGCTATAAAATTAGTGCATAATCTACATGAAGCTAGTATTTTCTGTTAGAATTTTATGTTCTCCAATATGTATTTAAAATGCAAGCGAAGAATAGTTTTAGTTTTGATAGTGTTAATATAGATCTTTCTCTTCATTGTATTTTTCATATTTCTTTGATTCATTTTCTTGGACCAATACGTAAAATTAAAGCTGTTTGTAAGTTAAGCAGGATTGTTTGTACAGAAATATATTTTTGCATTGACAAATAGAGAATGAAGACTTTTAAATTGCCTCAAGTATTCCATTTAAATATCTTTTTAAACATGGAGAAAAATAAAGGAACGATAGAAGGAGACAAGGGGTTGGACCTTTTGCAGAAGGGAAGGGATCCACAAGATCAAGAACAAGGGGAAAGGAAGAGGGAATGGGGAAATAGGTAGAATAAAGATATGCCAGGTACAGGATCCAAATAGCCTTAAAGAATGTGGACATTATATGCCATAAGCAAAAAACTAAGGTTAATAATATCAGCAAGAATGAAAAGGGAGAAAGAGAATTAGAGGAAGAAGAAAGGAGGGGGAAAGAAAGGGGATCAAAAAAAGAAATACACTGTATTGTGAACACATGTAATTCCCCAAGATGATTGCAGAATGCATGTACTGAAAACAAGGACCAATAAATGTTTAAAAACCTTGTTGCCAAATCTCCTATTTTATTCAAATATCATAATAGAATTATATTGCCAGTAATGTAATCACCATTCTTGAACTCAGTCTTCATGTCGATTAGTAATTGCTTTTTTAGTTAAGTGATTTAAAACTACTTTACAGCCCCAGATTATAGTATGGTTAATCTTCTCTAAATCAATTATTTTAACCTGATCTCTACTCTTCTAACCTGCAAACAAATAAGAGTATAAGCTATGTTCAAAAGAGTGAGAACTATTTCCTATAAGCATCAGCCATTCATTGTTAACTCGCTTCTTTTTGAAATGTCAACCTTAGCATACAGTTCTGGGTCATGACATCATACCAATGCATGTTCCTGTATTTCACAGAAACTTAACAGCAGTACTTCTCTATGCCCTGCCTTGTGAATTACAAATAAATATTGTATTGTTTGTCTGTATGTCTCAGATGTATGTCATGCAAATTACTCAGTGTCATTTTCCAAACTTCAGGAATTTGACATTACACAGAACAACTGATTAGCTTTTTCTGGATGATGTTTTATGCTGAGGGTCATTTAAAAAATCTGTGAGCAGATCTTATTTTATCCAATACTTTCTAGTACTTAAAGTTATACTTTGATTCATACTGGAAATCATTCCTAAAAACCATATTCAGTGATTGGGTAGGAATCGCTTCATATTAATGTTCTGATTCTCTCTTTTCCTATGCAGAACACTAGCATAAAGTATTCCAGAGCAACTTACATGACACTAAGTTTGAAATACTGAACAAAGGGCATTATTTTAATTATATATTAAGATTATTTTAAGGGTGTATTTTAATAGGTCTTTTCAACTGAGTTGAAGGCAAAGGAGTTGCCTTTCATTTTCCTAAAAAAAAATATCGTATTATCCAATTAAGACCTTTACAATTGTACTTTCATTTTCTTCTCCCCAGTTTTTCTTGTAGGAGAAGTTACTCCTGGAGGAGGTATTGGCATTCCATCGACTAGGAAGATACTCAAAGGTGACTCAGTTTTCTAGGGGTGGGTGAACCAGAGGATTACAAGTTTGAGCCCGGTTTGGACATCTTATGTAGTGACTCAGAGAGATCTCGTTTCAAAATAAAAAGTGAAAAAGGACTAGGGATATATCTGATTTCTAGGACCCTTGGTTCAATTCTAAATAACATAAACAACAACAAAAAAATAAGTAAAAGGCACACATTCTTTCATAAAGTGCTATGGTGGGGTAAGATCCAATTTCCTGGAAAAATCTCTGAAAAGATGATTTGCAATCAAGGAGTTTACTGGAAAATGTTCTCAGGACTAAAACTTGTCAGGAAGTAAAGGAAGTACAGTGTAGCAGAAGATTGATAAAACTACGATTCAGTAACAATAAGAGCCTCAGCTGATAGCTGAACAGGAAAAGTTGAGATGATCTGAGCTCAAAAAATTGCCCAGAATTGTGATCAGGCATTGAAAACACTGAACCTGTGGATGGAATGCACAGCTAAGGGAGGCAGCTCCATTTGACAGAAAGTAATTCTCAAAACAGTTTCAACTGCCAGCTGTCCACGTCCACAGATCTGGCAGGTTGAAAATGAGTATCTGGGCCTTCAAATGGAGATATAGTTGGCTGATTACAGTATCTGCTACAGTCCCCCCACTGTACCTTAGGTGCATTTGTTTTATAGAAGAGATCTATTCCATAAAAATATTAATTTATCAGGAAATTTAAATTTAATAAGATTAAGTTCCCTTCCTTACTGAAGCCAGTTTCAAGCTCTCAACTAATATTTATTCTCTCATTTTCATTATCCATTTAAAACTTGCTTGCAGTAAAGATAATACTCTTCTGAATTAGGTCGCTTAACTAATGAAGTTATACATAAAGAACTGAATAAGAAGTCTCAGCCCCTGATCAGTTCTCAAGGTATCATTTTGGCTGGAAGTGCGCTGAAGAACTCCAAGAAAATCACCAGGAAAAAACGTGAGCAGTGGATATAATGCCCCTATCCAAATTATAAAGTAGCAAGATTACTTTTCCTGATGCTCTTGGGCAATCAGTTCTACCAGGAGTGTTTTTATTTATAGTTAATGTTTTATATAATTTTCTTAATTTTTGAAAAATATTTAAAAATAATTCTTTTTAAAACAAATGTTTATTATTTTCTATTTTTACATTTCTTTCATTTTTGCTGCTTGAAAACATTTATTTTGCTTAATTTGCTGTGATAACCTCAAAGTAAACAGGTGAGAATGAAGATAATACAATAAAAATATACAGCACTTGTAACATTACAATTTGAATGTTAAGCACCAACAAATCTTGACCTAATATGATCAATATATTTTAGGGGCCTTTGTGCCAAATATTGTTCTGTGAGTCACTTCACCAAATACAAAAGTGAAGATATGCTGAGGTTGAGAACACTGAAAGCAGAAATTCTCTAGAGGAGGATGCATTTTCACAGGTGAAGAAATTGGGAAAATCATAGTGGAAGAAGGGACTGTGTTAAATAGACAAGGAAAAATACTGAGAGGAAAATAGCAGAGTGCCTTTCAACGTGGAAGCAGAAAAATGAGTGTCTTCCTGCAGAGACGGAAAACACTTTATCATACTAATATCAGTTAGTCAATATTGTAAGAAAAAATTTAAAAGATGAAAGAACACAGAAGATTATAACATTAAAAAAGTTTAAACCACAGAACTGAGAATTCGTTTTTATTACAAGGCTCAAAATGTGAAAACTTCCCCATATTAAAATTCACAGAGTGCTACAGAGAAAATTCATTATTGTAAACAAAGTGAAATAGAAGGTTAAATTTATAAGAAGCTGACAAGCATTGTATTATCTATTATCTATCTATCCATCTATCTATCTATCTATCTATCTATCTATCTATCTATCTATCTATCTATCTATCTATGTTTTTGTAGGGAGAAAGAGGAGGCCCTGAAATTTCTCATCTGTCTCTGTACCTTTCCTGCAGCTTGTTTCTTATTGGTATAAAGAGAGTTCTTCTGTTGAGTATATTTCAGAAATGTTTGATTCACCAAAAAAAAAAAAAAAAAAGAAAAAAGAAATAAATACAAATGTAACATGTTAAATCCTCGAAAGTTTTGATCAAATAGTGTTTAAACTCATAATAATTAATTTTCACGTAGCATTCAAACTCTAAAAATAGTCAGAATGTCTTATATTAAAATAGGTGAAATATGGAGATGAACATAATACAAATATTTTACAATGTTGTTAAACGTACTTCAGTAATTAATATGTTTCAATATTTGCAAAAGTAAAATGATGTTAACTAAATGACTGATAGAGACATTACCACTCTAAATGATAGAAATCAATGCATTTTCAATATTATGAAAGCAAAAACCCATTTTTTCACAAAAAACACTTGGATGATTTTATTAAATCACCAAAGTGATGTCTGAATTTTGGAAGTAAGTCACATCTATTCACAAACATTTCATTTTCTACTTCTTCTTTAAAATGATCGGACAAATATTAGATTGCTCTAATGTAGTAAGTGGTAAGCTAATGGAATGACATTATGGACTGCAGTGTATATTCAAATATCAATTTGAAAGTCCTAATGAACAAGTATACATTTTTTCAAAGTCCTAAAATAGAATATAAAATGTTTAGAAGCTTTGAGCCTAATCTTAAAAGCTATTTCTGGTATCCAAGGCAATGAAACAATTCTATTATCCAATAAAGACAGACAGGTTCTATTCTCCAAGATACTGCATTTATAAAAGTAGATTAATTATGATGAATATTGTTTTACATTTTATAAGCATAAATATACATAGTAATAATTGTTCAACATGATCAGAGGATAAGCTATACTGGTTTAGAATATATTAACAGTTATATAATTATACATCTGTGTATACATAGTTGTACATCTATGAAGAAATTGTCTATGACTATTATGTTTCTGTGTTGAAATTTACATTTTATTATGGTTGATTCTTGTTTAATATTTTGCACCAAGACATTTCTATTTCATGTCTAATTTGGAGCTACTTTGGAGAGTATTATATTTAAATTGCTTTGGCCCCCTTTTCTATCAATCCTGATTTTTTGTGGTACCTGAGTTACACAATGTCCTAGGACTATCATCTAACAAGTTCCCACGGGGTGGGCTCCCCCCACCTCTTTCTTTTTTGCTGTTTCTTTGGATCCTTCTCATTCATTTTTTTCAAGTGAATAATCTCTTTATCCTATTAATTGATTTTGACTGTAATGACATGAACTTATTTTTGAAATTCTATTGTGTAGCCCAACAATGTTCATTTTTTAATCTATTGATAAAAAGTTTAAATTATCACATAATAAACAGGTATTATTTTCCTACATCTGGGATAGTTATAATAAAGTTTTTAAGATTTTCATCAATTAGTTGAAGATTGTGGTTCCTCAAGTCACTCTTTAGATTTTATTTTTTCTTTAGGTTATTTTATTAGGCATTTTATTCCAGGCATTATGAATATTGCATTGAGGTGATTCCAGATTGCTGTTTTACTCTAATAGTGTTGTTTTCTTTCTTTTAGATGGTAAGTTTTGTTGACTGAGTTCAATATTATCCTTTTTGGATCTTTCCCTTTCATTGTTCCTTCCTTTTCTAAATGGTATTCAGTCTCTTCTTTCTTCATGGAAGAAAGATTGTGAGTTTTTCAGCATCTGTCACCAGTCCATTTTTTCAAGCTTCATGAACTGCCACCTTCATGCTAATACCATGGAAAAGAAAAATTATGTATACAACTTCTTCTGTGCTCTTCTTTATTTACTCAGTCCCTAGTAGGCGCTCTATTCTTTTATGTCCAGAACTTTCATATAGCTGGTCATGTGTCATGTTTCAGTTTTATAATTATTTTCCTGCAGGTATATTTCAAAATGGTCATAGTGTACCACTGCCAAATGTAGATGCAAAATTAATTATTTTTGGAATATCTGAATTTTATTTCCAAATAAAATGCATAATGTTATGCTATCTATTTAAATAACCAGCTATTACTAATCAACTGGTAAATATACTACAGGATATTGAACAGGACAGAGAATCTTCCTGGAGCATCAGGTAATTGAAACAATTCAATTGGCTAAATTAAAGTAAATTAATAGCAAAAATATTGAGGCAAAATTAAGAAAATTACCAATCTTCACTGCTTCTAAGGGGCTGAAAACAAAAGCATAGTGAGATCTAAGACTTCTAAATTATATAAGAATAGAAGTACAAATATTTAGCATTCATGCAGTTGGTCTAGTTTTGGGGGGTGGTGTATGAGTGATGTTAGCAGAAATGTCAGTGGTGCTGTAATGATGTTGGTAGTGTGAGTGATGGTAACATTGGCATTGGAGGTACTGATAGTGGTAGAGGTAGCACTGTACAGGATACTGATAATAATGATGTTGAACTCTGAAACAGTTACTTGAACAATAGATTAGAAAACAAGTTCCGTAAGAGAATGAAAAGTCAACCCATTGCTAACAATGAGAAACACATTTTGCAGGAACCAACCAGAAGTTACCTTAACCTCAATTTAAATTACTAATCCTTAATATATCATTGAACCTTGTTTAACAGATTGGACATGTTCTCTAAGTCAATGACTTTAATACTTTTTTTCTAAAGAGCAAAAATATATTACCTCTTAGAATTACATCCACAATCGCCCCTTTGCTGTGCTTCTATAATAGTTTGTTCATATTTCTCTTGTAATTATCATCAAGAAATCAAAATATATTTTCATATGAATTGCTTAAGAATGAGGATGATGCCTTTTCAATCTCTGTGTTCCCTTATAAGTTTCTTTGAATGATGTTCATATTAGAAAGTACGAATTGTAGCCACAGTTTGATATTGCAAAAAATTATATTCTTTTTTATTAGATAAAATTAATTCTACAACAAGCTCCCATAACTGATTGGCTAGAACTATATAACAAAAATTTTATAAGATGAGAGTTTTCTTTCTACCTATGCCTACCCCATATTCTTCAATTATATAGAAAATAAAGTTCAGTGTTTCTAAAGGTGGTTGATATCCTCTACCAATGGACATTCCATGGTAGTAGCATACAGAAACTTTGAGAGTTTACATCTGAGTTCCCATGATGTGAGTTTTTCTGTATGTGTCATTGGCCCATTTTGTCAAACCTGCTACTTAGAGACCAGCCCCATAACCCCAGCATGGAGTCTTTCATGTTATTTTGCTACATGGCCTGTTATCTTCAGAGATGTTAGGGGCTGGAAATCATAGCAGACCTAACTTATTTTATCCTTCCCTCCAGGGGAATATATTTTCCTCTTTATCCTGTTTTTTAAACTCACTCCACTGTAACATAAGAGAACCATATTCTGCAATCTCAAAACTAAGCAGAAGGGTACTCTAGAAAAAGATTGTTCTGTTGGAACTTTTACTTCTCTGAATCTTGCTTTCTTTTACTGAAAGAAGAAAAAATATCTGGACACCAGATATAAATGAAGTTTAATTGAGCAGTACAAAAATAAGTATAAAGAAATTACTGATCACTCTAGTAAATCATTCTGAGGCATACTGAGTCCATGTTTGTGGAAGCAATGAAAAAAAGTTAAAGACAAAGGCAAATTTTAGTTAATTTTAATCAGTGTATAGAAGAACAAACCCCAATAATTTTAATAGTTCTCATGGTTCTATAACTTATTATGCATGCATTATTTTCTTTAAACTTCTAGGACACTTACAGCTTTTATTATTTAAGAACAAGATCCTGAATTTGTACAGACTTAGCAGGAGAGGACAAGATTGAGAGCTCTATACATTTCTCCAAACATATTGTGTTTCAGTGTAATAAAACAGGGAGAAGGGCAGACATGTCCATGTAGGGAGTAAATCATTCCTGAGCTGGTAAAAGAAAGGGGAAAAAATGAAAAAAGATCCTAGGCTGGAAGTCTTGGGGTTTTGAACCAGTTGCCTAAATAGGAAAGTTGTGATATCGTCTAATTCCCATTTCTTGCCACATCTCTCTCCTCTTAATAAAATCTATTATTAAGGTTTCTTAAGAAACCTAAAATCCAAAGTGTTGTTTTCATGGATATGATTAGTTTATTACAATAGGTTTTAAGCAGAAAACAATTTCTCTACCCTCTCTCCTATTCTGGAACAAAAGAACATTGTTTCAACTCAGCCAATTTTAAGAAAATGGCAAAAGTTTTCTCATTAGTGTTGTTCCGTTTTTCTTTTGATAACATCCAAAATAAATTAAACCTATGTGCTGATCTGCAACTTACATCAAACTCCTTATTTTGCAGGATTTAAATAACTTCAAATATGTCCCTAGGGTTTATTCCAATTGAATTAACAGCCAGGTCCCTACCAAATAATCTTTCGAAAGGCAGCATAATCTTCCTTTGATGATTGGTTTCTCTGACAAATTTCTGCCTAAAGGACTGCTTACTCAAACTTAATACATATATACAGAAAACACAGTGAAAATGTTAAAATGCAGATTTTTGGTCAAAATCCCTGGGATTCTGATTTAGTAGACTTGAAATAACACCCAGCACTCTGCATTTTTAATAGGGTATAAGGTGTTTCAGAAACACATTTCTTTTTTTGCCCACGGTAGTGTCCATGATTTCATAAAGGAATTTTCTTCTCTCCTTGGATCACAGTAGAAATTTCCGGAATTTTTTT